ATGAATAAACTAAAATTCAAATAGTCATAGATCATTTTCTAAAACCAATTTAACATGGGCTTTATGATGGACTGGCGACCTGTCCAGGACGTACCCCACCTCCAGCTCAATGTCAGCTGGGATTGGCTTGAACTCCCCCTGTGACCCTCAAAGACTAAGTGGTTTAGATAATGAATGAATGAAATTGAATTCAGTGCATATATCATCAATTAGATACTTATTTCGATTTTTTCTTCTAACCTTAATTTATCCAGTGTTGTGTCAGTGAGAGCAGTGCTAGTGTTTTGCATTTAACATGGAAGCTGCACAGTTTTGACCTGCTGGCTTCTAAGCAGCTCCACTGGACTAGTTTGGGGTGTAGTGCTTTGCTCAAGGGCACATCAGTTATGATAAAAAAGAGCAGGGCAATTTGCTTTTTCACTGTCCACAGCCAGATTGATCCAGTTCTGGAAAATTACTATTCCACTTTTTAAAAAATGTACAAACACCATATATGCTTTAAAGAACAAAAACTGGATCCACTGCTGTGGTTCAGTTGTGGTACTCATGCTTTTATTCCAACAGTATATACGTATGTGATTCACTGCGAGCAGGCAGCCGGCATACGGCTACATCTGCTCTTATCTCGGTAATGGTTGCCTCGCCATATTCATTGCGGTGGTCTTTAATAGTCCGACGAGGGGACAGTCATCTGGCCCATGTCAGCAGGAGTCAGCATCAGCCAATGAAAAGGCCATCTGAGGAGGATTAGCATATTGGCATCAGGCCTGGAGACAGAGAGAAGCTGTCAGGGGAGAGAGTTCTGTAACGACAGGTCACTCCGGACCACTGCACGTTGCCATAACTATTCTCTCTTGTCTCTATAATGTACCCCAATCTCTTTCTACCATTTTGCTTCTTCCTCCTCTCACTCTCTGTCACTCCACGTCTTCTTTCACTCCTCTGTCTTAAAATGAAGCTCACCTGAACCTGTCTGACACTCGTTCGTTTGTTTCCACCTCTTAACCAAAACTCCTTTACCTCCTTTCCTTGGTTCATCTTTCCCATCCAGTCTCTGCCCTTCCCTCTGTCTTCCTCTTCCTTCTTAATAATTAAACAATGATTCACTGATCTGGGGTCAAACTTTATCTGCCCCCACAAGAGCTGAAGTGTATTGTCTCTGCTCCGTCCTCAAAGTAAGGTCCTCTGACGCAACTCGCACCATCTTCAATCTGCCATCCATCTTTATTGGCCCAAATTATTACACCTTATTAGCCATTATCACATTTTATTATCAACTCAAAACAGGTCAGTGGTTCAGCCATGCTGGCCTCCTTCCCACCGTTTCTCCTCTCCGACTTCCCCGCCTTCTCACTTTCTCCGAGGAGTTCACACAAAGAAGTTGCTCCGGCCAAAAAACTTCAGCAATTTCACAAGAGGTTAAGTGCTTTGTGAGAGAATTGCTGCCTATATAGGCTCATTTGCCGCTTCAATAATAGAGATTAAAGTGAAGTGGAAATTAGCAAAGTGTATCATCAGCTCTCTCGCTGCCGCAAGTTTGCACTTGAAATTTTAAATCTCATCGCACAATGTCAAAACATAATAATTGGCAGAGTTACAGAGGAAGTCTTTTAACAAAGATTTGGCTTGTTAAAACTGCCCTGAATCTAGACTTGTTTGGTTCTTAGATACATTGTAAAAAAAAAAAAAAGTTCTAATCAAGCCAATAAAATCTTCTTTTTCTAAATGTCTAGTATGAGCTTTTTAAACAATATTTAATTAATTTAGGGCATGTATGTACCCAAGTATTTGAAATGTAAGAGTTTTCATTGTTTAGAATATACTAATAAACTTCTACACTTAATGCTCCATAACTGCAAATGCAGGTCTCAAATGCCTGTTAAAATTAAATTTGTTTGTGTTTATTCCACTTTTCTAACTCTGTGTAGCATAAAGCTTTCATCACTAAAAATTTTATTCTAATGGTAAATTGAGAATCCACCTAATCTTACTTTAACCATCCTTTACTTGTTAACCATATCTTTAAAAAGATTACATAACATATAAGTATTTTGTTTTACCCATCAACCTCCATCAGTCAATCCATCGATCCCTTATCTATACCTTTCAAAGTTGCAGGGGTTCTGGAACCATTCCCACATTGGGCGAGTGGCAAGGTCTAGTGAACCTAATCCCAATCTGCATGATTTTGGACTGTGGGTGGCAGCTGGAGCACCCACTGAAAACCCACAGAGACACAAGAACATGCAAACTCCACACAGAAAGACCAAGAACCTTCTAGCTGTGAGTGTTAACCACTGCACCACCGTTCCCATCAACTTGCATTATAATTAAAGAAATCATTGGGAGATACTCAAATCACAAAAACATTGGTGCATCCTTTGACATTAGAAGAAAAGAATAAGTCTAAAAAAACATATTTGAGTGATTTTTAATCATCAGGCATCTGAAGTCTTTCCTGCTACACCGAGCAAATGAACTGAATCAGAATCAGTGTCGAGTCAAGTTCCATGAAAACAGAGCTGAACCTTCCAATGTAGCTTCTGTGTGATGAGGGAAGGGTGAGAGGTCACGTTTAGCTCTGGGCAGGTGGTTAATGGGATGAAGTTACAGCCTCGAGTGGAGAGAGAGAGGGAGAAAGAGAGAGGGAGGGAGAGAGAGACATCCATCATAATGTTAGAGTTATTTTTAAAGCGGCTCCTTTGCTTTGGGTTCTTATTGGTCAAAATACCAGACAATAATTAAAAGCTGCTGGTTCTCAGAAGCCTGTTAGCTTGTTTAGTTACTCTGAGGGAATACGGTTCAGACTGAATAAATGATGCATGAAAATTAATGTGCAAGGCCTTTAAATTTGTTTTGGACAAGGCATATTGGGTGCGGACATTCTACGGACTTTGCCTTTCACATATGAAGAAGCAAAAGATTGTCAGATGTGTTCACAACATTTGGAAAATCTCGATGGGTGTGTCTGGGTAGAGCAGGAGGCAGGACTCAGCATATAAATACATTCCATTGTTGAAATCATGACACCAGCGTCGTTTCTCTCTAGAATCTCCACTTTTGAGTTTGAGTCCGATCAAAGACACAATTGAAGTTATGCAGTAAAACAGAAAAGGGTGTATGTTAGACCTTTAAAGCATTTTAGTTGATTACTTAACATATTATTCGACACAATAAATTAATTAAATGAAGCCCACAAAATAAAAAAGTCATGAATTATTATTTTGAAACTGTGGCACTGACGAACCAAATGATTTTAACACTAATGCACTTGACGGCAGCGGAACATTTGGCAACAATGCGCTGTTCTCTCGTTAGCGCTAATTGCTGCTGTCACAGCGGTTAAAGGCAAGGTCCTCCTCTGACTCCCAATCATTTATCTCTCCATTACTGAGAGCACTCCAGCTTTTTATTGGCGTAATAAAGTCAATCTTCACTACCACAAAAAGCCTCCTGACCCCTGGGCGCTCCAGAGGCCCCTGACTCCACCTAAATGTACTCTCAGTGTCTTCATGTTCATGTTCATGTCACACACACACACACACACACACACACACACGGATGTTGTTTTCCAACCTGCATTTAATTAGAACAATAACAGAGGTTTTAATGAAGCACAAGGCAGATGTTGAGTGTGGGTGTATGTTTCCGTGTGTATAAGCAGACTTTAAACATATTAGACCAACTTATTTCTTTTCTTATCATTTCTATAGTAGTTATAATCCTTGTAAAACTTCACAAAATAATAATTTTGTTCCATTAATGTTTTGACCAAGACAAATGGAGGTTGAGGCTGAGCAGTGGTAATGGTGCCGCATGTACGCCCTCTTGTGGTCGAGTAATTCAGATCATTGGAGGGGTCTTCCTGAACTGAACTGAATCGGTACAAAAACGCCAATGTTTGCTGATATGTAGTAGTTGTAGTTTCCTTACATGGATTACATGGTAAATATTCAAAAGAGCATGGAGAGTCAAACAAAACATGAACATGACTCTAGCTCAGTTAGAAAACCACTGAATGAATGTGATTCTAAATATTAGAGACTCGTTATGATTCAAATTTTGCTCATTAACCCAGGAGAAGAATGGTTTGACCCAGATAAGAATACATACTGGACACGTCATGTCAGTTGTGCGTCCGGACTTCCTGCTGTTCGAAGGTCAATGGGTCTTTGAGGTGGTGGGTGCTGTCTGCAGGCCTGTGGTGCTCCTGTCTTTGAACGAGAGGTCAGCCCTCTTAAAAGCATCATAACCACAACAACACACAATCGAATGTTACGTTATGTGGTTTAATCAGAATCCCATATTGTTTTAGTCAGGCTTTAACATAAAGTAGTCCGGACTGAGATGACGAGGGAAAGAGGATGAAGGTAGTGATGAGGGGTAAAATGACAAAGGGATGAGGTAATGGGGAATTGCAAATGTATTCTTTGTACATGTTTTAATTCTAGATTTAAATTGTATTTCAAATGTGTATGCTGCCTAAGTACAATTTACATTTGCTATGTTAAATACAATGTGCTTGTTTCCTTCTATAGTTTAAGTGCAGCAGCATTTAAGTGTCTTTACTTCCTGAAAAGTGGACATCACACCCTTTAAGCACAACTAAATGCACATCAGTGCATCTCATCCTCCACCTGACACACTGTGTCTATCGTGTGTGTTCTTGTTGTGTGCATGTGTGTGTACAACCTGTTTTGTGACGCAGGCGGGGGTGGCAGACCAGTGATGCAGAGCATTGCTCTCATCTTTAAAATCTGTCACAGGGACGTCCGTCACACACTTTCAGGTCCTTCCTCAGTGACACATCGAGACCCAACAGGTGAGAGGAAAATATTTCTTAATCTAAATCTAAAACTATTACACATCATGTTACTCTATGCCAATCTCTCTTTGTTTAGTCTGCCTGAATAACATGTTTTACTCTATTTAATTAAAGGGCAATTTGGATTTGTGAGCAAAGACTTAACACTCACATTGTGTTAAATATTCAGAAGACAATGTGGGTCCTTGGGAAGATCAGGGAGAGTGTGGAGAGCATTCCTTTAGAGGTCAGTCGTTACGTGGGAAAGAGTGAGGAGGACGTGTCTTCTAAAATAATTTCTCACAATCTGCACAACAACATCCTCACGCCCGACAAGATCCCAGAGTTCTGTCTGCCTCCGCGGCTCTGCAGGAGGAGCCCCCTGATTGAAGCAGAGACAGCCCCGACTCGCCTGCACAGACACAAACAAATACCAAAGAGCAGCACTTGTTCGAACACAACAAATGTAAAGACCAAGGAGTCTAAAACAAAAATTGGGGATGCTTCAGTGGCTTGGGGGGCCACAAAGAAACCTTTGCCATTCTCTGCAGATGGGTATGGGCTGGCTGGGATATATGAGAGCCCCAACACTCGGAGAAAAGAGTCTTTGTTCCACTCAAATTTGCCTGTTTACGTGCTCAACAGAAGAGCTCCCATTGCAGCACCCAGGCTGGCAAAGGAGACAAACCTGACCAAGAAAACCTTATCTGGGTTTTTCCCTGTGTTTTCAAGCAAGAGCCCGTCAGAGGCAGGAAGCACGGGGAGTGAAACACCTTCTTCCAGTGACTCCTCGCCCATTAGTTCCCCTTACAGCACTAAATCCTCCTTCTACATCCCATCAGGCAGTGGTCGTCTTAAAGCAGCAGTATCCTGTCCACACTTACATGACAACAGGGAGGAGAAAGGGAGGATGAAGAGGGCTTTTTTAAGTGTGCAAACTTTTCCAAGTAGCCCCCCCACCTCAGTGGGAAGCTCGCTCACCCTCGCCCCACCTGTCCTCTTCCCACTGGATGTTCTGCAGTGTCAGGAGAGGCTTCAGCGGGAGCACGTCCTGCCTCTGCAGGGCCGTGTTAAAGTGCGCCTCTCTGCAGAGAGCACCACATTCTCCACCAACACGCTCTCATCCCTCTCCACAGTCAGAGTTCGTGTGGTGTCTGTGGAAGGCCTGCAGGACGACTCTGGCCGGCAACCCATCAACTGTTCAGTGAGTCTGTGTCTGACACCAGGAAAGCTGCAGCAACAGAAGAGCGCCACCATCAGGAACTGCCGCAGCCTTGTGTTTAATGAGGATTTCTTCTTCACAGAGCTGAGTCGCGAGGATCTGCTGGAACTGCAGCTGAGATTAAAAGTGATGGATAAGCCTGCAGCTGGAACACTGAGGAGGGGGACAGTGATCGGAGTCATCAACAAACCTTTGTCTCAGTTACTTCATCTTAATAAATGGTTGCAAAAATAGACGTTTCCCATTTCACAAAAATGTAAAAATGCCACTTCCATAAGTATAAATGTGTAATAGTTTCATTTAACAGAAAAACAGCATGTGCCATGTAGCATAGAAACACTTGTCTTTAAGTTTCAGTGTGTAAGATGCCACAGGTTCTCTGTCACCACTAGATGTCACCAAAGTCTACACACTGTACCTTTAATATAAAGAAAAGGGTAGAAGAGGGAGAACTATTGTACCACTGCATGTAAAATCGTCATTTGTACTTAGCATTATTAACCTTAAGTAAAAAAGTCATCTTATGTTTGTACTCAAATGACCAAAAGTGTGAACCAGAATGATCAATATCAAACAAAACATATTCATATCAAACATCAGTATATAATGAAGTCAGGCCTTCTTCTGTGCCCCGTGAGGCTTTTGTAATATTTATCAAACTGTCACTAAGGTTTGACGGAGCTGTCTCACTGTGTGTAAATAACATTTGTGACATTGTGGTTCATGTTTAACTGTGGTTCATCCAAACTGTCTGACTGTGATTAAAGAATGGATTTCTCTCAATTTAAAACAATAGCTCATCCTCTTGGCCCTCACTGTGACACGGGCATGATCAAACTTAATTGGCTTCAGAGTTAAAAATCTTAAATTCAACAAAACAAAAGACAAAGTCTCTAACAGAAAACGTTGTAAAAGGACTTTACTTGGGCCTTTTCTTGATATTTTAATATTCCACTTTCTATACCTGTTTTTACCTTGGGATTTTTTTATTTCCTGTTTATATCCTCTTGCCTCTGTTTAAAACAATACAGCACAGATTGGAAAAATGAAAAACTACTACTTATTTGCCCTCTTAAATGGTTGAAACTTAGGTCGCCGATGACAACAATGGTCCCTTCATAGAGGAAAACAGCTTTCATACCTTTAAATGTAAATTGTGCAGATATAGGGTTTGGTTAATTAATGACCAATACATCTTTTGTTGCCAAAGTAATCGTTAAAGGCAGCCACTAACTTAACAATTATAAATCTCCCTATGTCTTTCTATTGGATATAAAAAGTCAGTATGTTAATAATTAATAATCGCTGTGATGGTGGATGATAGATTGTGGATAGTAATGGTGGTGGCAGCTGATCGTGGATAAGGCTACAACTGGATTTCTTGGTTATTAAAATACACTTACTCACATCAACCATTATTGTCCATACCTCTTTCACTTCAAATGTCATTACCACTCTCTCTCATTCATGTCAGACTTCATTACACACTGTTTTTCTCATGAAAAAATGGATGTCTGCTACATGACATCTATATAAAATTGACATTGACATTGAGACACATTATGATTTATATACATGGATTGCAAATAGAATTTGATCGATTGATAGATAATTCACTTTTTTTCCGAACATAAAAAGTAAAACAAACAAACCAAACCCCACAAATAAATAAATAAACTAATCCTATCCCGAGTACGGCGTGACGCCATAGCCCCGCCCACCACAGGACGTCCTAATCTGACGTCGAGGCGGCGGAGTCGTCAGAATGTAAACATGGTGACAGAAAGGTGAAACACTCTCCAAGATGGTCTTCGAAAGCGTGGTGGTGGACGTCCTCAACCGGTTCTTAGGGGACTACGTCGTCAACCTCGACAGCTCGCAGCTGAACCTCGGGATATGGGGGGGTGAGTGAAGCTGTGTGCGGTGTCAGAGGACTAGCTCGCCCGTTCAGGTGGCTAACCAGTGCTAACAGCGGCTAGCCACCAGCAGCAGGCGTGTGTGTGTGTATGTGTGTGTGTGAGAGAGGCTCCCTCAGCTGTCAGTGTCACTTCTGTGCCCTCACAAAACAGTTCAGCTGATAATGTTAAGTTATTTCTAGCTAATGAGTAGATCAGCCATCTTTGTTGATGTCTGATCGCTGCATTGATCCTCTTACGTTAGCTCTTTGGCTTGCATGCTCGGTGCTTTGACACTAGTTACAGAGAACCCAGCGTGTGTTCGGGGTCACACCCTTTCACACAGCCAGGTTATGAGTCGCAACCTCGTTTCACAACGAGCGGTTTTCACAAGCTCCACCAGGGAGAGAGACACTGACAGGTCTGTGCCAGGTCAACAAGAGGAGAAGAAAACAGGTTTGACCATTCATTAAGCTGCAGCAACTTGCAAAACAACCACCTCGATTCCTAAATATATATTTGCACAGTCTAATATCTGCTGCATTCATTACAAGCAGGACATGGCAGTAAAAACAATTACAATTTCATATTTATATATCGATATATTGCTTATGCAGTGAGGAGGTGTCATTCTCTACCCATAAACAACATAAAAATCCTTCTTCTAACTTGATAATGTGATATTTATCATAATAACTATTCATTCACTGTATTTTTCATTACTTCACCCTTCTTCTGCAGTCAAATTTTGAAAGAATATCTGCAAGTTAGTTCATTAGAAATTTATATATTGCTTATGGGTCTTGTAGTAATGATGTGAGATTCATGAACATCTTTAATAATATATGTGTTGCATTTCCCTGAGTGTTGAATTAAGTCAATAGACAAAGGCCAAAGACCTTCTCTTTAGATTAGACAAGTGTTTCTACTAATCTGTTTGTCTTATCGTTAAGTACATAGTAACAATCAGTAACCCTGTCATCGCAGGTGATGTCATTCTGAGAAATCTTGAAATAAAGGAGAATGCCTTGGTAAGTTGCAAAAAATGTGTAATTCGTCTTTATGGCGTCCATAATGATTTTGTTTGACAGTAAATGACTGTGCTTTTTGTTTCAGAGCGAGCTTGACATCCCTTTTAAAGTGAGAGCCGGTCATATAGGTGAGATTGTAGTGAGAGCTCATGTATGCTGCCTTTAGTGTGGTACAAAAGAAAATGTTCTCATCTCATGTATGTGTTGATAGGACGGCTGGAGCTTAAGATCCCATGGAAGAACCTCTACAATCAGTCAGTGGAGGCCACTCTGGATGGCGTCTATCTGCTCGTAGTCCCAACAGCAAGTAAGATAAGCAAAATTTTTTGAGATTTATGTACACATAGTACATTTTTGCTTAATTAAAATTCCTAAGTTTACATAGCTACAGTTTGTGTTTAAAAATCAAAAACATATTCAAACAAATTAGTATTTTAACGGGAAGTATTATAGTGGAAAGCTTTAAAGTCTTTATAGTAGCTCTATCATCAAGTACAGTCTAATGAAGTAGACACAACACCGTGTGTAGTACGGTAGTCAAAGGATCTCTTACCCTTGCTCACTTATTCATGACTCTAAAGTACTTGTCAGGACAAACAGGAAACTCCAGCTTAACCCTTTGTATGTTTTATTACAATGATCACTTCTATTGATCCTTTTCTTTCCAGGTATAAAGTATGATGCAGAAAAGGAGGGGAAACAGCTACAAGAGGCTCGACAGAGGGAGCTACAGAGGATAGAGGAAACAAAACTGAAGGCTGCTGAGCAAGGTCAGAGTTCAGCTTTGATTTTATGGGCATGTGTAAACATGTAGGTCTGACAAATATTCAGGACTGTTTGCATCTTAGACATTCTGCTGAATTATAAGAGAGACATACTGAACAGTGTGACTGTTGGTTTAGATTAGATCGCCAGAAGAGAAGTGTCAGAGACTAAAAAGTAGAAAAAGCATGGTTATGGAGTAAACATAGTAAAGTAGGAGGAGCAGAGATTCTAAAACATGTGGTTGGTTGGTTGCAAGTTCCTGTTTTGCTTTTGGAGCTGCTGCGTTCACACTTAGTACTTCTGTGGTTTAACACAGCTAAGCCAAATGCACTAACCAGTGCAGCTCTAACTGCAACACTAGATAGATAGTGCAACTCTAACTATCTATTTTAGCCGTGGGTGGGTCATCCACCAACCAGACGGTCTGTTATTTTTCCTCAGCTCCACTTGGGCTCCACTCGGGCAAGATTTTAATCCCGAATTGGCCGTGACGACTGTGCTTACAGTTTGTGATGGTGTGATTAGTGTCTGCAGAAGCATATAATTGTGCTGTGTGTGTGATTTAGTAAATTTGGCTTGTACTCTGAAATGATTTGAGTGGTCGATACAGTCCATTACAGTACTGTGCCTTACATTTTATCCTCCTATTTTTCATTACAATATTAAGCAACATAGTGGAACATTTCTACGGCCATTTATCATTTTAATGCTATTTACTCAACTAATATAAATACTTCATCTTCAGTCTGCATTAAAATTTTAAAAGAATATATGCAAAATAGTTTTTTAAAGACTGACTGATATTGTTGCATGTAGCTGCTACATTCATGCTTCAGGAAGCAAAGAATGCACTGGATAACTAACCAGGACCAGTATTCTTATTATACCAAAATCCATTTACTGCATATTAACTTAGAATAAGGAAGGTTAGCATAACAAAGCGTAACAAATTAAGAACAAGATAGTGTCGTCCATCAGAAACAAATATGCAGTTTTATGGAATTAATTGTTTACATTTTCAGTTAGTGACCAATCACTTATAAACAAGTGTGTATGGGCTTTTGTGGAATGTGGAGTTAAGTTTGAAAGGCAGATACTGGTAAAAAATGTATCATTTATATTTAAAACATGTTACTGTCTTCTGTGAGATTGTGTGTTGCAATTACAATCAAGAATACAAGATTTACAAGAAAGTAATGAGAGTTACGCCCAAATGTTGGAATAATTTAAAACATGTACAAGGTAAAGGGAATGATTTGTAGACGATGCTTCCTTTTTTTAATCAAACAACAAGAGGTAAAATAATGTTTCCTTAAGTTAAGCTTCAGGAAACCTGCAGAACCACATCAGTGCTCATAGCCTTCATATTTGTCTGTTTGACAGAAAACCCCAAGTTAGAGAAGCAGGACACCTTTGTGGAAAAACTGGTCACTCAGGTCATCAAAAACCTGCAGGTCAAGATCTCTAACATCCACGTACGGTATGAGGACGATGTGAGTATTCAAACTGACTTATCTTAGCAATATTTGTTCAATGTATGTACAGCAAAGCTTACAGAGAATATGGATCTTGGCAAAATAAATACGGTGGCTCTTATTTCTCTTTTTGTTTTTCATAGGTCACCAATCCAAACTGTCCTCTGTCATTTGGTGTGTCACTCAAAAACCTCAGCCTTCAGGTAATGTGTTGTAATGTCTCCAATGTCAGATTATCTGCTGTATTACATTCATCTATTAATCATGAATTAATATCACAATTTTATATATTTAAAAAGTAGTGCTATCTCGTTGAGGCCTTGCTGCTTGTTTGATGTTACAGACGGCTGATGAGAAATGGAATCCAAGTCTTTTGGATGAGAATTCCAGGCTTTTCTTCAAGGTAAGAAATTCAACCACTTAATCTGTCGGCTGCATTTGTGTTTTGTAGCTTGTGCATTTTACAGTATCAAGTATAACCTGTGTGACACTGCATGTTTTCTTTGTCATTGTATTTGATTATTGTGTCCCTTCAGGCAAACAGAAAGTTAAGTTACTTTTTGGGTAATTTGAACCAGTTAGTTTGGTTCTGTGAATTGTTTTTGTGCTGGGAACTCATCGTATTTCATCCTGACCCATCTTTGGGCCATGGTCCAAAATGTACAAATCGATATATAGAGCCAGCTCTGTTTTGTCCCCATGGTAAGCAGCTGCACTGCTCTAATTGCTTTGTGTTTTCCTTCCTCAGTTGGTTCGACTAGACAGCTTATTTGCCTACTGGAATGTTAACTCAACTCTCTTCTCCAATCACACTGCAGAGGACGCCTTGGTGAGTCACCCTGTTATTACAGTGCTGTACCTTGTCTCCATCAGCCTGGATTCAGGCTGCCATTGCCTGTCCTATTCCCTCCATGCTGAGACACAGCCTCATTACTGTGAGCCCACAGAACGATCCTGCACTTTGGAACAGTGTCAAAGTCTCAAGCCCTAATCTGTAGAACATTTATAAATGTAGTGTTGTGAGGGTTTATTTCCACACAATGTCAATGCAATAAGGAAAAGGGTCAGGATATAAAGTAATGCAACTAGAAACTATTGAGTAATGCTAAACTGGTAGAATGGTGATGAAATTTCTCTTCTCTTGTCTTTTTATAGCAATGTCTCCAGAGCAGCATGGAAATCCACAGCCATGCCCCTGTCAGCCATGACTTCAGTGGGTGTCTCACTCTCTCCTTTATTATATTTCTACACTATTATCATGATTACCTAAAAAATGTGAAGATGACCTAATGAAACCTACCTAAAGCCACATTTAACTTGATATGTATAAATTCTGTTTTGAGTATGTATGAATTGGAATGTAATATTTCGCTCCAGCACCATAATGGCCTCAAAAAAAAAAGTGTGAATCTCACAGCTTGAATCGCCGCCACCAACACTTTTCACCAGATTTTCAGTGTATCTCAACAGATTTTCTTTCAGATCTGTAATCACAGGTTCTTGAACGATTGACCTTGCTAACAGTAAAACATGATCACAATTTTTAAATACTTTGGATTTTAAATATAGGTCCATTGTTACATTCAATTACACAACCAGGTACAACATAAACATTCTATTTCTTGTTGCTTGTCCACAGTTTTTCGTCCCATCTCAGCGGATGCTAAACTACAGATGAATCCCAGGTCAGACGTGGACTTCACCTCTCCTAAGTTGGACCTGATGGTCAATCTCAGTGAGGTGGCCATTGAACTCAACAGACCACAGGTATGTATCCATGTGTATTGTATATAACTTTGTCTATGTAAGAGCCAGGTTGAAAGTTAGGTTTAGGAGAGAGGAAGAGAAATGATGTTAAAGAGGAATGAGCTGAGTGAAATGAAATCATGTTTGAAAAGTGCAAAGAGGGAAAGAATGAGTTGTCTGGCTACTGTCAGTACTCACTGTGCTGCAGAGTAATTGTCGACTTCCTCTGTTTCCAGTACATTAGCATCTTGGAGTTACTAGGCTCAGTGGATATGATGTCCCGGAACCTGCCGTACAGGAAGTACAGACCTGCGCTTCTTGTTCACAAGAATGCCCACATATGGTCAGAAAACACATCCACATATTGATTTCTGTTTTGAAAGTCAAAAGACCTTTTACCTCCATTTCAATGCTATTGAGTATTGGACATTGTGAAGTTTACTGTAAATTTGTATGATGCTTCCTTGTAGGTGGAAGTATGTGATCACAAGCGTCCTGGAGGTAGATGTGAAGCCTCGTCTTCACATGTGGTCATGGCAGCACATTCGCCAACACAAAGAGATGGTCAAACGATACAGAGAGCTCTACAAGGCAAAGATCACCAGCAAGAAACCCAGCGAGGAGCTGCTCAAACAACTAGAGGTGGGACATGGCTATAGAGAACTGAACTGATGAATGCGGTGTGAAGGGGGTGGGAGGTAGAAAGGGATGGATTTAGTAGTTACAATGTGTAAAGACACATTGTAGAAGGTAGTACCCTTGTAACTGCAAATCCCAGCCAGACTGTCCTGAACTTGATTTTACACTGACAAATACCTACTACAGTACATCATTGGCTGCACGGACAAGGTAATATGATATGCACATAGTTGATTATAAAGGCATTGCCTACCAGGACCTATTCAGGAATACATTTACTCTTTCTCCCTCCTCGTGACTTACTCACATCTTCCAACCTATATAGGGATTCATTTTATTGGAGATGGATGTTGTAATTTAGAAATACACCATTAAATCTCAAGCCACCTTTAATATTTCAGATGAAGTGTTTTTCCACTGTCTCTCCTCGGCTCTGTATGCATTATCTTTTCCTGATGTGCTTGATAATGGACATTTAGTAATTGATGGATTTCTGCAAAGAGCAGTGAGACGCTGCTAAAAGCTCTAATCGTGTTATGTTGTCTCTTTGTTTTCAGGAGCCTGAGAAAACCTTGGATATTTTTAACATCACACTGGCCAGACAGCAGGCTGAAGTGGAGGTAAGATCATCCATAGTGGGTATCTGCACTTTGTTAACTCACAAAGAGTTGATGTTCAGCTTAAGTGTTAATGATATAGTCATTGTTATATCCCCAAAATTAAACTTTACAAGAATACAGAAACAAAATAATTTTCCATACACCCCTGGATTGAAGATAACATTAATCATACACAGTACAGTGCTCTCTCAGGATGTGTGGTTAGTCTCCATGAACATGCCACATACTTAATGACCACAGTGACTCATGACTAAGCAAAAAACAGACGCAGATGCATGCAGTGACTGAGTTTTAGCCTGAAGTGTCATATTCTGTGTTTCACTTTACTTGAGTCCTTTCACTTGTCAATTTCAGATGACATATGGTGAAGGGATTCTGTACTTCTATGATCTGTGGTCTCTGTGACATAATAGGGAAACCCACTTAGGCTTAATTCTCAGTTGAAAATATCACTATGTAAAACAAACACAATTCTAGATTTTGTAACTTCTTTTAGGGTCTCTGTCATCTGTTTCCACAAACAAAAAAGTTCTATCTCCTGGCTGTTTTTTATTCTGTTCTGTCTTTTTTGTTCTTCTTCCCCAGGCAAGCAAGTTAGGCCTGCGTATTTACCGTCCAGGGCTGAAGATGGAGGAAGAGGAGTCTCAGGGTTGGCTCGGCTGGATGTGGAATTGGGGCAAAGAAGCTGATGCACAACCAAAAGATGTCAAGAGTGGAGGTAGGATATGCAAAATTAATATTTCGATAAGAAGAGCAGTATGGCAGAGGATCAGATTAAGAGTGCAGTACTCCAGTAACACAGTAACAGCCTGTGATGTTTGCTAATGCTATGTTACCCTTCACTCAGGTTTTGATGAGCTGTTAACCCCTGGTGAGAAAGCCAAACTCTACACTGCCATTGGATACAGTGAGGTTGCCACTAATCCCAACCTGCCAAAGAATGTGAGTCACGTCCCTCTCTGCCAACTATCTGTCAACTAATGGTATTTAAACAACTCCACTGAGGCCAACATTTATCATATTTAATTTGATTATGGACCGTGTCGTCATTCTTCATAGTTTGAGGACATGAAGGTCAACTTCCACATGGAGAGGCTGTCTGTGTCCATCAAAGACAACAAGGACAGAAATGAGATCATCAGACTGACTGTGGGAGAGCTCCAGTCCACACTCACACAGAGACCTGGAGCACAAGCCATCAAGTTTGTCAAAACTTTTTGTTTTTGGGTATCTAACTTGGCTTTATTAGTATTAACACTGTTTTTTTGGTTTAATTTGAAAAAAAATATATATATATATCGGCACGGTACAAACCAACTGCTGCTTCTGCCCTGATCATTCATTTCCTGATTGGTTGTTATCAGTCACTACTCGACTACCAGAAGTATCTTAGTATGGATGAAGCCTTAGAATCATGGCATAGAAGATACTGACTTGTTGTTTCCTTCCCTGTTTCTTTTGTTTGCTTGTTTTCAATCAGACTCACAGCCCAGCTCAGTTTGTTCGAGGTCACTGGCCTGGCCAGTAACCGGCCTGCACCAACCCTCCTTTCATCAAGGAAGGCAGCAACAGGAGCAGGGACCCCGCTTCTCTGTATCCTGTTTGAAACCAACCCCCTGGATGAGACAGCTAACCAGCGGCTTCATGTGGAATCACAACCCCTGGAAATCATCTATGATGCAGTGAGTGGTGTCAGTCAGTGTGCAAATGAATGAACAGGATTACACAAGTCACCTATTCATTCTCTGCTCATGTGCAGATAACCGTGAACAGCATGTCAGAGTTCTTCATGCCTCCTGACGACCTGCAGCTGGATGAGCTCACTAACGCTACCCTGATGAAACTGGAGCAGTTTAGAGACCGCACAGCCACAGGTCAGTCGCACCAACATGCACTGAATGTCTTGGGTTTATTTCAAGCCTGGTCTCAACTCTCTGATGGGCAAAGTTTGCATTCCTTAGTTTTTGTTTTCACTGGGTCATTTTCATTCCTTCATGTGCTCACACACACCCTGCATGTCTAAGCCACTGTATTACTTGAATTGGTGTTTATTTTCTTGACTTTGATTCTTGAGTGTTTTTTCTTTTCTTTTTACAAACACACAATTAACTTTGGGTGTATTCAGCAAGGCTCTATGATATTGATAATATATTACACTGAAAAAACTTTTTT